AGAAAATATGTGTGAAAATACATCAAGTGAAACAGCTATTCTTTCAAGCACTTCATTCTTCACTAACCCAATGCTGGTCGATAACGGCTTATAAGAAATAAATGTAGTTGAAGTACGATTATACATTTTTACACTGGGAATTCGTATTGTACCAGTTAAAGTAAAAACGATAAATAACTATTAAATTTTAGTAGCCATTGGAAACAACGAACTCAATGTTTCCCCAAAAGGTTATTTTTTTATCACGACCAACCAGAATATTAATGTCAAGTAAATACTAGATATACTTGCGCAAGGTCCACGAAAGTGTTCTGTTTCAAGAGTAAATAAAACCAAAATTAAGAGCAACAAATATTTTTAGCCGCGGCACAGCAGCTCATAGAATGGCTCCGAGTTCTTTTTTTTTTCTCTCCAAGTACAAACTTTTAGCTCGTAACTCCGTCATCCCTTGACCGATTTGAGATATAATTACAGTTTTCAACACAGGAGGTCAAACCCTTTCGATTAATGTATTTGACCACGCCCAATGTCTCATAGATTAATTTACACTAATCCTGCCTAAAATAATTTCAGTTCGAAGGTAGGCTGGTAGAGATCCTGATGAGCAATAAAATTGAATCGAGTATACACGCGCCTCACGTTTTGTATTGCTGACACACAAAAATATCTAATATATATAGCAAAGTTTGTGTCTGTTTGTTCGCACCTTTCAACCCATATAGTAGGCCTATAAAGATATGGAATCATGTACTCAGGTTTAATGTTTCTGATAACACATTCTTAATGTCAATGAAAACTTTGTAATCTGATTTTTTCCACAGAAGATGGGGGCTTGATCCCAAGGGTGTGACCACGGCATCTAATTTCATATCTAATTTCGGAAAAACTACCAAATCAACACAACTATACACAGTGATATACGATGACATGAGGAAGGTCATAAGGATGGGAGGGGGAAAGTATCATAGATTAATTTACTTTAATCCTGCCAAAAATAATTTCAAGTTCCGCGGCTATTGATGATTCTCTTTCGTTATTTCTTACTTTTGAAGTTCGTATGTCGTGCTGTGTCGTAGCCTACAGAGTGCATAATTCTTCTCGTGATTCATGGCATGCGCACGGTTTATTGACGTCACGACAGTACAAATTGCAACTTTAAGAGTCCATTATGTGACGTCATTTTAATGTCTACTGTCTGACTGACTGACAGACAAGACACTACTGAATAATGGTGCGAGTGGTTAAAACAGATGACCATTTTATGTATCAGAGTAATGTATCAGTCTTTTTTCTTGCATATGATGCAGATGGCAGGAAGGACAGGTTCAGATCTATTGATAGAGAGACCATATCATGATCTAAGTTTCTTTCTAGGGTTGGCCAAATTCGGAAACTGGCGACAGAAGAAGCAGACTGCCTATTAACCTGTTTTTCTTGTAATATTGACTGCTGTACACAGCGTTTTATTACACTCTCTATGTTTGTTTTGTTGTTATTTTCTATAAAACGCTTATATCATGTTGGATGAAAACCTTCATCACTGGAGATGTTATCAAAATCATCTGAGAAGTACTGTTGAAATGATTCCACAATGTTTCGATCAAAGATATATATGTTGAACCATGCTTTAGCACACTGCTGGTATTTATCACATCAGACACATGTAAAGGGTTGAGTGCACTCCTTGATTGAGTCTTAAAGGCATACAGCAATGCTAATTACTTCTACGACTGGATGTCTTATGAATCATAGGGGACTGACAAGAGCTTTCTGGGTCTTCCTCAGCATCCTTAAATGGCTATATATTGCACATTATCTGTTAGCATAGTCACTGAGAATACTTATGTTATATAATATGCACTATACAGGCAGGAATTCTAGACTCTATAAACAATTTCATGTGTTAACTGAGGTATTAAATTAAAGAGTTTTTGTTATTTTTCAAGACATTTTCCCCTAAGTATCATGTATGAGGGATGTTATGCTCTCATTTATCACGTCATTAGTTTCTTTAATCTATTTCAATTATTTGGAGCCATCTTGTGTTCGCATATATTGCTGAAATTATAACCAAAACCCTTTTGCTGGTATGTAACGAAATTAGTCAAGAGCCGGCTAACTCTGGATGTGCCGTGACAAAAACAAAACAAAGTGCATAGTCTTTATGAAGAACATTTAACACAAGGTCTGTGAGGATATTCATTAAATAAATCTGCACAAAATAAGTAGTGTCCATTTTGTTTGAACGAAACTCGTTATCCAGGCATAAATTTTAATTCAGCGTATGGCCTCATAAGCATTCTCAAGATGCAACAGTCGCTTTATAAGTGTGATCGGTAGTCTAATATCATCTGGCAGTTTAGAAAAATTGTATTCCATAGTTATATAAATACATCCTTTTAAGAATATAGTCCCAAAGTATAGTTGTTTATAATGATCTTCCTGAGTTTCCACTGTTATATAAGTATATGTTTTGAAAACTATATTGTTAAATATAAATATCAGCCTGTATTGTTTATAATGATCTTCGTGAGTTTCCATTGTTACATAAGTATATGTTTTGAAAACTATATTGTTAAATATAAATATCAGCCTGTATTGTTTATAATGATCTTCGTGAGTTTCCATTGTTATATAAGTATAGCACCTCTCATGACCTTCCTCATGTTACCCTGTGTCAAGTTTGATGCTGATGATCAAGAAATGTGGAAACGCATAAGTAACAGATAAATACACATATTAACGTTTATTTATATAGAATATGGGGGTCCCTTCCCCACTGCCTTCATTACCTTTCTCATGACATCCTATATCAATGTGTCAACTTTGGTGCTGATTGATCAAGAAATTTGGAAACGTGTAAGGAACAGATATGAAATGATAGATATACAACCGTGTATTTTTCCCGGACAAACACTTTGCTCCATATAGTAGATTTGTTTGGAAATGACACCTTTAAATATAGAAACCAACCTGTATTCTTTATAGCAATCTTCCTGAACGTAGGTAGTTATATAAGTATATCCTTTTGAAAAAGGCATCTTAAAATATAAGTAAAACTCGGATTCTCTATAATATTTTTTTTGAATTTCCATATTTATATATTATGTTTAAGAAGATAATCTCAAGTAATTAGTTAAATATAAGTATCACCGTATATTCTGTTTGACAGCCATTTTATGTTAAGAAAGAACGTATTTTGTTTGTTTTTACGAATTGGTATTATAAATATACACAAACCTAAAGGTACACAAGTCAGTAAGTAATATTTTTCGACAAAAGTAAACAAGGATAAAAATTAATAACTCAAGCTCAGTAGATATAAATTTACACCAATAAAATAATTTGGTATACCATTAGGATGGTGGATCTCAAAAGTTTTAACAGGAGAAAAATTATTTTCGTTGAGCTGAAAAAGAATGAAACATTGTTAAAGCCTCATTATAAATTCTTTTAATTTTCGTTTTATTTAGAAACTTTATAATTCACTCTGAATCACGAGATGGCAGCAGAGTAGCTAGTAACGTCTGCTACATTACTTAGTAAGCCATAACCTTTCTCGCGGTAATTTTATTTGTCACTGATTAACATAGCTAAGGAAAATATTATAAGTAGAGCTCCCCCCCCCCCTCCCGACATGCCAAATTATAGATTTGCTGATCTTTTTGCATTTCAAGAAAGAATAAAACCAGGCGAAAACTTCTTTAATAACTGTGAAGTGCCTGTCCTTCCCAATGCCGTAACACTGGTGAAAAATGATCTTTTCAGAAAATGCATGACAATTCATAAAGTAATATTTAATTGAACTGGATAAAAAAGCGTTACTTCTTTTAAAATTGATTATTAATTATTAGGTAGCAGATAAATCAAAAGGTTTGTTAGTCTAACATGGTTATATACCTTTTAATTCTGATGTCCATCTTACTAAATAGTTAAT